TTTGCCATCATGCAAAGGCTAAGTGTACCAACTCATCTGTAGCAACCGATGCACACGTTCGCTAGAAGCGATCCCGATAGCCAACTGCTCATCTGAGACAGTTGCACCAGCTTTCATGTAACGCTAGGTAGCACAATCTGGTTGCCTAAGCGTAGTGATCACAGACAAAGGATCACACTTTGACGGATCCTTCAGCAAGCTTCTCAATGTAATTAGTTGCCAGCACAACGGAACCACCGCGCAGCTAATGGGATGGTAGAAAGGTTCCACCGACAGCTCAAAGCATCACTCCATGCACTGACACGAAGCACTTCCGCTCGTTCTCTTAGGCATAGGGAACACAATCAAAGCGAATTTGCACGCCACTCCCTCGTTAATTTTTGGCTGTACATAACGCTTACCGGGTGAACTTGTCTCATCAAAAGCACCAACAACTTTCGACTATGGCGACTACGCAGCCCGCTTATCTCATCACTGGCGACAAATTTACTCAGAGCACAAAGCTTGCACACCAACGTGGACGAATGCTTAACCAATGGCACGCACGTGTTCGTTCGCACCGACAGTGTACGCCGGCCACTCCAACCTTCTTACTCTGGCCCGTACAGTGTCGTACGCAGAAGCGCCATAACGTCTGCCATGGACTACAATGGTAAGACTGAGACGATCGAGATCGACAGACTCAAATCCGTCTTTTTACGACTCTACGGTGCAACAAGCACTTTCACAGCCTGCGTTATCTCGGCCAATACCGCAACCTCAGACCAGTCACTCAGCTAAAGCGGAACCTACAACCTCAAACGACAGCACTCGTTCTCAACCTACGCGATAGGAAGCTCAAAGCTCCAGTTCGTTTTACGGATTTTGGTAGCGCTTGCTATTTTGCATAGAAAGTCTCTCCAATTTTCTTGCTCTTACGAAAGGTTTTCTAAAAACTACAAAAAAGACCAACGTTTGGAAACTACCAAAAAAAGTGCAAAACCATATGAAAACCCGAAAACAGCTTCGCATGTTTTTCGCTTTACACGCTTTTGTATACTGCTATGCATCCATGCTGCGTTTTTCCGTTTTGCTTTCCATATCCACCTAACCGGCTGGTTGCCTCTTGTCTTCACGTTTCGCTGGATCCCCGCATCACAGCGGGAAGCACAACGAAGTTACGGCTCAACCAGCTATGCGAACTTCATCAAATGTCCCCTCCCACAAACACTGTTTTCTGTTTTGACACAGTAGGGAGGACAGGGATGGGAACCCGCTAGGGTCCGATTCCACAGTTCTCCCCCAGCAGCTGCATCAGGTGTCACAAGCCGGTCTGGCAGGAGGCTGGCCCGCGCCGCAGTCCTCAGGTGGATCGAAGGACTACTTACAGTCCCTTTTGGGGGAGGGCTAGGTATCAGTCTGGAGATTCCCAGGTTTGTCTGGACAAAATGCAAAACAAAATTACCATTTCACTGTACACTTAGGCGACCGGTGCGGAATCTCGAACTGGTTGCTGAGTTTGATTGCTCGAGTTGAGCATCGCCAGTTTGCTTGGCGTTTGTTTCGGTTGCAACACGCGACTGCTGTGTGCTGTGATTTCTGCATTTCTCTAGCTAGAGCATCAGCGGTGTCGTTTTTTATAGCCATGCAACAGGGAACCATTCGCCGTACAAATATACGTTTCGCTGTAACCCGATCTGTCTTGGAATCGCTCACCGGGCTCTCGCTAAAGGCTACACACTGAAAGATGCAGCGGAAGAGCGTACGGAATTTCAACATAGTAGTAGCCATAACTGAAAAAGCAGGTGTTGTATGAACAATGTAATGGCAGCTCTTGATATTCGCCTACGCAATCGGAAGGAACAGGCGAGAAGCCACTGGCGTTTATCCGCCGCCAGTCGAGCAGCAACGCCTACACGCCTGAGCGAGAATTGCCTTGTACGCCTGCAGGACCGATTGACTCCATCGACGAATACACCAGAAGTAGGCAATTAAGGAAGACCGAATGGGAATTGCTCAAAGGAGCGTAGATTGTCTTCTTATAAAAATAGATTCTGATAGTAGCTCAGCCTTCGTTTTTGATGCTCGGAGGGCGTTACACGACAGCGCTAGGCAACACAGCGTGGACTTTGTGCTGCTAATAGAATGGCCAGTACATTGTTTCAGGAATCGACTAACACTGTTTGTTCGGCGCTCATCGACCTCGGAATGACGTCTCAAGTTCTGTATAAAGTTCAAAAGACAACCAAATTAGGTAATTGTGTCCCAAGCAACAACCAGTATTCCTCACTATAGAAGGGAACTGACGACAGAAAATCGTATTTCATACTCTCCGAATGCAGTCAGTAGGGGTAGAAACGGAAGCGATGAAAAGGTATCTTCATATTGTGCTTATTAACACCAATAAATCTCCGAAATCATATGGCACATATTCGGCTTTTCACCGGCATCCAGTCGAGTAAAATGTTTCCAGCATTGGATCAGTGTCACTGAAAACCCTACTTATTGTCGGACGGGTTGATAACTTGTAAGCATGAATGAAACCCAGTGCTGCTCGTTGGCGGATCCGACCCAGAGGGGGGACGTTAGAAGGACGAATTACATAAATCAATAGTACCAGTGAAATTCTAATAAGTTAGGAACAGAAGTAGATCCCTATAGTCGTTCCATCCTGAATGCGTCATTGATGCACGTTTGAGTTCGGTGTACGGTTGGCTAGTTGTATGGGCCAAATCAGCACGTGCGGAACACGTCGTGGTGAACCAATCAAGACCCACGCGCCCTGTGCTGGCAGACCCCGTTGACCCGGCCACGTGCAATAAAAAGAGTAAAATTGTAGTCTACGCAAAGTGGAGGAGATACAAAACTTGAAGAGGAAGTTAGTACGAATAAAAAGGAAAGGAACTGAAGAGCAATCGCAAGAATTAAAGGGAAGATTAGAAGCTGCAAGTTGCAGGCGTAAAAGCGAGGTTTAAACTGTGCCCGTGGGTGACAATACGTCCTTGGATAGCGCATGCCAGGAATGCATCACTCTAAGCGACAAACGAGTGTCAGCCCGAACCCGATCAGATCGGAATTTGTGCAAATTCAACGGATGCCCACGAAAAGTAGGTAAGTGAGCAGGATGAAAAAACTAGGTCTGGGCCGATTCGCCCTGTTAGTATACGATAAGTGCGTACTAAATCATCAAGGAGACGGCGATAGTGTAGGGAGAACATTTTTAGCTTGAGCAGTCTGTCAAAGTAGGACAGGTGCCGCAGACCTCGGACCATTTTGGTAGTATTCCTCAAAACCCACTCTACCGCCATCCTGTCACGAGTCGGACAAGCCTGGACGCAGTACTCCAGGTGCGGTTTATCATAGGCTAATGACAGTCACTTGCTCAAGAAACGGGTATGGGGAGGGAAGGAAAAACGAGAAGTGCTACCGACGGAGTCGAGAAGGCGGATGATACCCTCTGGCTGACCTACTCATAACCTTTGACTCAACAGTCTGAACCACAATGCAGCAGGGCACATAGAGGGTCGCCGGAGGTATGGCTCAACAGCCTGACCCACAAAGCAGTGGGGAACAAGTCCAGCTACCGTGTGGTTGCATACTCATTGGAATCTGCTTGGCTTATTAAAGAGAATTTGAAGAGCTGGAACAGGATAAGTTCGTTGACCGTTATACGTTACGCACCTGCGACCACGACAAACCGCAGGTGAGTTGGCATGTTGGCACCAATTCGACCAAGTGGTGCCTGGCGAGTTGGAGCAAATAAAATGCCACTGGGTATCGATCTTCCAGCGACAGAAACCATCCGTAGCACTGGTGCTCTACGCCAATGGAATTGCGAGCTCATAACCCGTCAACTGTTGTCTTCAATGGCTGTGTTAAAAGAAGAGCGCTGTCGACCTCTCCCCAACCTCTGAATTTGATTGTGAAACTGATTTGGACTGACCCCTAGCCATTGACTCGTCTAGTATGAGGGTCTGAAGACACTTGGAAAGTGCTACTCAACCTAGCCCAATAAGTTACACAAACCATTGCACCACATTAAGGTGCAGTTTCGTTGCGATGTGAACGGAGTAAATAAAACCAACCAAAGAAAACGCTACTCAGCCGTAATAAGACTTCGGACAACCTGGCTTCCCGATTACCAGACATATAAAACGTTCACATACTCGCTTAATGTAAGATTAGGGATAAAGCTGGGAAGTGATGCCCTCAACATCTGAGATGACAAACTGATCAGTAAAGCCAAGAATTGGCCTTAAGACTATACCTCGTCAGTTGAACCGCCAACAACCATTGGACTAATTCCGATGGTGAGAAGCAGGTGCCTATTTGTATGCAGAACAGGAAATATAGACAAAATATGGCATCAGCCGTGAACAAATACTAGCAGCATGCGCTACAAACTTAGTCGTGCATGGTCGAGCAGAAGGGCAGCCGAAGCAATGAGTGCTCACGCTTAACAGAGCAATGCAGACAAACTAGACAATAAGCGTGCTAGTGCCGCAAATACTGATCTCTGAGATGAAGATGCAAAATATAGTTGTCAGTGGGCGCTGGCATGGGCATCCATTCATAGGTAGGGAAAAAGTCCAATCTGGATGAGAATCCTAATATGGACTGGTAAAAAACATGAGAATGCCGCGTAAACAGTACGAATGAGTGGCATCTAAAACTATAGGTTGCAACAAAGAAGTAACAGCATCTAAGAAAGGGCAAAAAAGGAATCCCTAAATGATGTGCTTCAGAAGCTGGATAAATAGCATCTGGCTGGAAACCATGACAGAGCAATGACGCACCTCAGAAAATTCTACGGGTCATTAATGATGACTACGTGGGAAGCGCGAAAGAAATCTGGGAATGAACATGACATACCGCGTCGGATGGCCAGCTAGAAATAGGTATAAGACCACCGAAATAAGATAAAGCCTAGGTGGAATTTCATGCCCAGTTCGCAGCCGGCGCAAATAGAGCATATTTCTACGGAAACCCAACCGTATTCCAGCAAAAATAGGTTCAGAATTAACGAAACGACAAACGCTCATTCGGTCGGCGTCGCACAAAGAACAAGGAAAAACAAACGTCGGGCAACAACTGTCACAAAATGACCCCAGCACATAATGAAAGCGACGCATTCGTGCGAACAAACGTACAGAAAGGAGTAATTTTGTCGACGCAGTAAACATGCAGTTTTCGCAGCAAGGGCCAACAAGTATGACGAAACAGTTATGAGTGGGAGACATCAGGCCTCAGTCTTTACTCCGTCGTTGGTCAGGCCTTGTCCCTTTGGCTCTAGCTTCGCTCCTTGACCACTCGAGTTCACACTATCGCCATTCTGACCTGGCTGAGAGGCGTTTAGGCCGATTGCCTCGGAGGCAGAGACACCAGTTTCATCCATCAGCTCCGGAGGTAAGTTGCGGCTGCTCTTTAAGACGCTGATGCCTTCCTCGAGCTGAAACAAGAAAAAGGGGAAATAGGAAAAACGGGGATTATAGCCGCAAAAGTCATAAAACGTTAAGAAAGTTGACTAGAAACGTACGGAGCTATTTTCTATGTAAATGTTCACTAAGATACATACCTTCGCGCGCAGAGATTCCCTGGATTCTAACAGGTGAATGACCTCAGCGTTATCGACACCAAGAAGCATGCCAGTAAGTTTTTGAGCTAAAGTCGGGTAAATTTCTTGAACCAGTGGAAACAGTCGTTCACCAAGAGTACGTTTCTGATCTTCTGCAGAGAGCTGAGCGAGTGCGCTTATTGTGAGGGGACCTTGATCCCCCAAAGGAGCCAAGACAGATGACATGTTGTTCGATACTGGTTGTGCCGACACATTTCGTGCAGTCTGATTGAAGCGAACATTTGTGGTAGTCACCAATGTAGGTACACCAGGCTGCACAACACCCCGAGGTACCTGAGGAGGGACGGACTGTATTTAAAAAAGGATTATTGTCAAATGCATCGAAAGACTTTTGATGGTCAGTTAACAATCAGGAACAGCGGTTAGAAAAATAAGGTACATGCGGATATCCTAGTGGAATCGTATTCGAGATAAACACATCGATATATTCTTAGGCCAGCTAGTGACAATGCTCTCGGCTTCGAAAAGATGTCCGACGAATATGAAGCAACGAAGAAACGAGGGCTGAAAAACAGTGACAGAAAAGGAGAGATTAATTACGGAAATAAAACTTGCAAGCCGCTGTCTGCTATCATAGTTGGCGGCAACAGATTCCGGAGTTGCCTGTCAGAGGTTGTCAACGGACAGCCACAGCACGCTTCCGCTGCACCACCCACAGTTCCATGCACGCACCTTATTGACAGTGTAAACCCGAAGAAATAAGACCGGAAGGCAGATGGATGGGAGCCAGGTTTCATCGACGCAGCCGCCCCACATTTCTTCAACATGCACAACTGCAATATTCTAAATTAGGAATCACGTGTACCATGCTTACCGTAGCCCGCTCTACAGTAGATGGAACAACTCTGAGCCTAGCACGATCACGAGGACCGTGCATCCTGTCTCCCCCAGCAACGGTTAGCTGTCCATGAAACGGATATGGGGGGCAGTAGAATCTAGATGGCAATTTTTTGACAGAATCCTTGTCAACATGACATCAAACGCAGGCACACCACTGATGTCAGACAGAATACATAGGATAAGAAACATGCAAACTGAGCAGAACAGAGCGGTAGAATGACAGAACTGACGAAAGAAAAAATGTGCATTAAGGCTGCTTCAGTTTAAGTGTAACTAAGGGGATATCAATCAAATAACGAAAACGGAAAAAAAGGCGCAAGCTAAACAGGGAATATGCAAAGGAGTAACAGTGAACAAATAAAAGAAAATGCATCAGGTCAGATCTAGTGAAAGAGAGAACAGTCGTGTCAGTCACTCTAGTCCAACTGCGGTGAAGACGTAAAACCAACTTCAAGATGAAGCACACTGCCAGCTTTCACGCAAAGGAAGTAAAGTCCGTTACCTATTGGGGTGATAAACCAACCCAGCGCACAAAGTGAGTTCACAATGCTGCAATGTATGACAGAGCAAGTCACTGAGCAACGACTTTCCAGATTAGGTGGTTATGGTAGTCGTCGACACTAGGTCTACAAGGACAGATGAAGTGAACACTGCTGATGAGTTTGGAAACGACCTAGCACATCTAAAAATGTGGCTTTTTCAAGACAAACTTCGGATTCCCTAAATGTTCACTGGTGACGTGATGTATAAGTGCCGAGAACATGGTTAATTGTATGCGGCCTGGGAGGCCAAGTTACCTGTGCCTACGCAGGCACGAGCCGTGGATTTTAAGTCGGATGTCCAAACATGCACCCCTTCAGTAGAATGCGCCTAGCTTGCAGGAATAGCCGCCAAATACATGCCAGGAATGGGCGAAAATAAAGGGTGGTATGAGGGAAGCACTAAACAAAGCCAAGCAATGGTCAACAAGTGGATCTTAACCGTTAGTGGAAACGAGCAAGACAAGTTATGTTCACTGGGGAGAATGAAACGAAGCGCACATTATACCAAGGCGTAAAGCCGCGGCGAATAGGGTTTAGAATGCTTTACAGTCAAGTTAACTGGATAACAAGGGGCTATAGAAGATAGCTGCGAAAAACTCACACGGACGCCAGGCGGGTTACTATTCGGTGTAGCTGCTACCACTGAAGCCATGGACGGACGATGGGGTAGACCGCCAGTTGGATTTAGAACCTGTTGCATTGGAACATTTGGCCGACCTGTCGGCTGACGTTGTCCGGCAGCATGGTTCATCATCCCAGATCCTGTCATGTGGGGTCCAGCTTGCATAGCAGGCACACCACTGGCCATCATTGGGCGCCCAACATTCGGTGGCGGGCGGATCTGTGCAATTGCTGCCATTTGACTAGCTGCCACACCAGCCGCCGTATTCGGTGAATTGAGGTAGTGTCCAGGGATTGGTGGTCTACCTGGCATTCCAGCACCTAATTGCGCCGGGATACCCCCCGACATGACTCCAGCGCGGTTCCAGCGGGGCTGGGAATTAATAACAGCGCCAGGAGGATGGTAATAACGTTGGGGCTGAGGGAACGCAGTTTGAGTGAAGTAACCCGGAGCAGCTGCGTGTGCCGCCGCAGGAGGCAAAATCTGCGTAACCGAGCTACGAAACTGTGCCAACCTTTGCTGGTGTTCCGCAATTAGCTTTGCACGCCTGTCCTCCTTGCGTTGGGCCAATGCAACATACAGCGGTTTGGAACCGATTAAAGCGGCGTTCATCTCGGTTACGGCTCGTGCTGCTTGTTCTGGTTGAGTGAAACAAACAAAGCCGAAACCTTTTGATCTACCGTTGGCATCTGTCATGACTTTAGCACTTGTTATAGGACCGTATTGACAGAAAGCTTCCTTTAAACGGTCATCGTCCACCGTATCATCGAGGTTTTTGACGTACAAATTGACGCCTGAAACATACTTCGACTGTCGTTCGGCACGTTGTTTTTCCAAGCGTTGTTTTAGCTCTTCTTGGCGTTCTTCTTTTCTCTGGGCACGGCTGGCGTACAACGCGCGTCCGCAGATCTCCTTGCCATGCATGGTTTTAACGGCCTCTTCGGCATGATCAGGGTCATGGAAGCAAACAAATCCAAAACCCTTGGATTTCCCCTCCGCGTCTTTTTCGACGCAACAACTTTTAATTTCCCCAAACTCACTGAACATTTCACGCAGTTTATCGTCGTCAGTGTCTGATGGGAAATTTTTAACGTAGATATTGTTAAATCTTGGCTTCCCAGAATTCGTTTTTCTATCAGAGCTTGGTATAAACTTCCCGACATAAACGACGCGGTCTCGAATCATCATGCCGTTAATTTTTTCAATTGCGCGTTCAGCACACTCTTCTTTCTCGAAATGAACGAACCCATAGCCCTTCGAGTTTCCGTGCTCGTCCATTGCGATCTACAAATAGTCAGTAAATTATAATCAACTAAGGTACTTTGCAAGACAAAATCCGGCCGAAGTACACGAAGGTGTCGTATAGCTCCTTCTGCTCAATTGATTTATCCAGATTCTTAATGAATATGTTTCCACGACCCGACTTCCGTAAAGATGGGTCTCGCTGTGACCACATAATTCGGATGGGACGCCCCATGAAAGGCTCATAATTCATATTCTCCAAGGCGCGCTCAGCTTTAAAAAATAAGATAAGTATAAGCCACTTACCGTCCTTAGGTTCCTCGAAATTAACATAACCGTAACCAAGCGAGCTTCTTGACGCTAAATCACGGCACACTCGAGTGCTCAAGACAGAGCCCATTTCAGAAAACTTAGAATAAAGTAAAGCCTCAGTAGCAAGGGGATGCAGATCACCAACATACAGAGACGTTTGAGGCAAACTTTGGGAAGGCTGAGCTGTAGTTGCCATTTTAGGTTTTTGAAAATTTTGAAATTTTTTTCAAGCGGTTTTCTGGTATTTTTTAAGACAAGTGCGGGTGATGTTGACCCGCTTCGATTCACAAATTACGCGGGGTATAGGCTGCGTGCGGCTGGTTAAAACAAAACTACTGAAAAAGATTTCGTTCACTAAGGCAAATCAGCTGTTTGCCAATGCTAAAACGTTTAGTTTACATTTCTAATGCTAAATGACAGCTTGTTTATATCGTCCCTTTTCGAGCCGCAACATTAGAACTAAAACATTTCATTTCATTGCCTTTTGTTGTGACTTTTTTGTCCGCATGATTTATTACATAAGACGCTTACAAGTTATTGGAAATTCGCTAAACGTTAGAAACTAGTGCTATTATGTATCTCTGAGAAGCAGTGAACTTGTTTCCAGAACCACGCTGAGTTCTTGCCCAGCTGAAATTTTTGTAGCAGAGACGGTATTCTGCAGGCTGCTACAATGGCTATACGCTTCTAAGTTGTTTGGTTTTGTTTTATTTTTCCTAAGCTGTTACATGTGTTAACTGCTGAGCTAGGCGGACCGTTTATTATCGTGCTTCAAAAATCGCCTGACCTTCGCATTTTCTTCCTACTAGTAAATAAATGAAGAAATAGTTTTCTCGTCATTGCGAGGCACACCATCAAGATCCTGATCATGGTTTTACAGACCTGTATGATGGGCAATTGCACAAATTAGTACATTTTGACCAACAGCATAGGAATTTATGTGTGTGTTGAGGTGTAAAACTATGTTTAACTGTGTATTTGGAAAGGGGCATGTTGTGTGAGTAGGTAAATGTGACTGTGTGTGCTTTTGTTCGTTGCGTTCGCCATCAAAGAGAGGAATCAATGGAACACTGCATCGGAGAACGTTGGTGATGTGTGAATGATCCTCCGGAAAAAAGGAAGAGGCAGTGACTTTATTTAGTGGCGAGTCACATCCGTAGGAATTGGTCCTCCGCTCCAAGTTCAATACTGGCGACTGGAATCTCCCTGCCTATTACAGTTCGCTTCGTCTGCTGAGCATAGTTGTCAACTTCCTCCAGAACTTGGTGGGTGACTCATCGGAGAGTGATCTGAATGCCCTCCGTCCAATTAGCAATGAGCAACAAATATTCCGGAAGCATTTCGTGGCTGACGGATTTGTTATGAGATCACGAAAGTTGAGCTGCTGAAGTTAACAACGGTCACGTTCTGGAGGTGCTGTTAATAAGTCTTTGAAGCATTTGGCGCGATACTTTATTTGATGCTTGCGCAAATTATAAAATTCTTATGCTAAACCCGTTCGCGCGCTTCACCGGGTGCATGCCTTCATGAACGGCAGAGAACAGTGCACGTGTGAGTCGCAGCCTACCGTTTAGGTAAGCTATCCCCAGTGGTGCACCGAAAGTTTCCGTCGTTGAGCCACTATTTCGCTATATCTATGTGCATGACCCAACTGCAGTGCATGAGGCAACATTGCTACAATTTGCTGATTACCTGAAGCTGTGGAATGTTGTCCATTTATTCGTGCTTCCCTAGATAATGCAGGATGCTTTATGTACGATTTGAGACTAGTTTACTTTTGACTGCTGTCCATTAATCATGTAGAAATGATGGTGTCTGTCTTCCTCGTGGCACTTTGACGGACGAGTCGAACTACGACGCGTATCTAGTCGGGCTGAACTAGGCGTCGTACATCCTCCGATTTACACTCGGGTGGTAACTAGAAGTAGGCCGAGAGGACATGGTTCCGTAGGTCATGTTCACTACGTCGTGCATCCGGAATCTTAGTTGGCTCCAGCTTTGGGGACTGTTATGGGTATCCTTTCTGCCGCATTAGGAACACGGTATCCGCCCTGCCACTTCCGGGACACGATGGGGCGGGAGCTGGTTTGGCAGGTGAATACTAGGTTGGTTGAGGAGTTAAGGGGCAGACGTAAGCCGAGAGGCTCCGTACTCTGGAAATGTAGTTAATGCCATACCTGTGGCCTAAGCCCAATACAAGATACCTTAACTAGGAAGGACCATCGCAATGAGGCTGGACCTTACCGGGGTGCGATAATTTGCGTGCTTCAGGCATCCATTGAGCTACGCTGCGTGATGCATGGTTGCACCTTCAGATCCACTCATACCAGACCGGTCGATGTTTAGATGTCAGCCAAATTAGGCTGCCCGGTCCTCCATCTTGGGGGTTGCAATTAGAGTGGCTCGTTATTCCTTAAACATTCTCCTTGTAGCCCAACGCCCAAGCTGCTGCCTTGCGGTCAGGCTTTTGAACCAACGGATTTGTTTGAGAACACTTAGTGTTCTCCTGTCTAGGCCTGCGCAAATTGACAGGATTCTGCAAACGCCATGTTATGCAGCCATTGATAATTACTTTCTTGATGCCCTGGCCCCCGCAGAGGATAAACAACGGTGCTTTATCTGCTGCCGCGAGCAGTGTTGATGGGGTGTGATTATTACTGTTCAAGGCAACCCATGTTCACATTCCCCTCTTACTCTTTTTTACTCTTACTGTCCCGTTTCAGCTAAGCCTTTACCCCCTATTTGCCGCCCCTCAATCTTTGGCCTCACCCCACTTGCTTTGACAGGCTACTACCTTTTATTTCCAACGATCCAGTGTACTCGGCGTGTCATTCATGCTCCATCGACAAGCCTACGTCCAAGCAAGCGACCAAGCACAGTTCATCGACTTCCATTTGGAGCACTCGATCTTTCTTTACACTGGCAGGCCTCAACGTAAGCACATAGCTACTGATCGGTCAACCGGTAGCACCTACCAGAACCTTAAAGACCCACTTGATCGGTATCTGCTACTTAACGGAAACACGGCGCTCACACTACGACCCTCTTCAGGTGACACTAGCAGCCCCTTATCCTCGCGTCTATCCGGTAACGATGCAGCTTCAAGCACCGGCCAGGCCGGTGTTGGTATTGACCTGAGTCCCCGGGCTGAAGCTGCTCTGGTTGATCGGATTCCAAGCAGTAACCAGTTGTGTGCGGTCCGAGGGGCTGTTTCTTTCAAAGCTTCGAAGCTGCACGGGGCCTAACGTGTATCTGTTCGTCATCGCTGCCTATGTATCCACAATCGCTACGGATGCATAGGTAAAAGAAGGATTCTAGCGCCAACTGAACGATCTCTTTCGCCACAGAAGAAGCTTGGACACTGGTGTGCAGGCTGGGGGTCTGAACGCAAAAGTTGAAAAATTATCCAATGATGAACGGCATCTGTGCGGCCAACATGGTGTGGGCTCTTACGCTTATAATGGTGAGCGGTCACATCGCTTGTGTGAAGATGCTCGCTTATTTCTTGCGGGCACTTATTTTCGACGCAGCACTCGTCAGAGGGTGACCTGGCGCCAGCAGGCTTCTAACCAGCTATGGACGCAACTACATCACCGATGGAGAGGATGCATTCATAGCTGTCGCTCGATTTGGAGCACACGTGTGTGCACTGACCATGCACTCGTATGTGCTGACATGCAGATACGTGTTGGCGGAAGCCTGCGACGACGTTGCGGGCCCACTGACACCAACCAACTGTTCTGAATGCCTGTCAATGTACTTTGTCATGCGCGTTGAGTAAGCCCTCACTAGCTGCAATTAAAGCTCACTGGTGTGGTAGGAAGAGGAGGAGAGGTGACCAGGCGATGACTTGATCTCGAGGTATGAAGGCCATCACTTCGAAGATGGCCTCGAAGCGTCTCGACTTCCTGGTTAGGGTCCAAAAGACGATGAACACGTTTTGCTGGATACGCTTGTTGATATGGCTCGGAGCCTACCTCAGTGGCGGTCGTTCTGCGAGTTTCTTTCTTCCACCCCATCCCGCTCAGCTTCGGCCCGCAACCACGATCTCTCTAGTTAGCCTTACATAAGTTTGGGTAGTAAGCATTTAGCTGCATAGTAGGCGGCTGCCTGCGTGCCTGAACGAAGCCCATCCGTTTCCGGTGGTTCTGCTGGCTAACCCCTTTTGCATTTTACCTCTTTTTCTTTTATGCATTGCGGCACAATAAATGAGACTTTTCCCACGGCTAGCTAACAAGTATTATGAAGGCATGATGGTAGTAGGAAAGATGGTCTGGTGTTGTTTTAACTTTTCAGTCGCGTTGAACTGTCTGTTCACCCCAGCCATTTCAGGAAGCTCGCAAAACCGCGGTCTGATCGAATTGGTGCGGGAAATCGAAAGCGCTCTTTCCACATTCAGGTCGACATTTCTTCTAAATATCTCGCAAGAGTATCCCTGCTGTACCTATCAGGTGTGCTAGGAAGCTTCATCCCTGCAACACACCACAAATGTCGGCTTAAAAACACTGTGACGCGGCCGCCGGGCCTCGCCACAGCATAACATTACTGCCCCTTGGGTACCCGGATAACACTTTCCAATTCACGGACAACAATATTCCACTTGCACATGATTGACAATGTCAAACTTCGAATAATGCCGCAGCACAATTAAAGGCACAAACTTGGTTGGCGGCATCCGGTTTCGGATTTGCCTGTCACTGTGGCCAGACACAGGACGCCTGCGACTACCGAGGGACCATGGGTGGCTTGCGCTGCACCACACACAGCTCCATCCACACACCCCGTATCCAGTGTAAACCCGAAGGAAAAAAACCGGGAGGCATGCGGATGGTAACCACGTTTCGTCAACGGAGCCGGCCCACACTCCTTCTCAGGCAAACACAAGCACGCTGTATTTGGGGAATCAAGCGCACACGAGGCGGTGGCTGGACCGTAGTCCGCTCCACACTGAGTGCATGGAACCACTCTTCGAGCCTAGCACGGCCACAAGGACGGTGCACCCCGTCCCCTCCAGCAACGACCAACTGTCTCCCAGAGCCAGTATGGACGAGGTAGTGGGTAATAGACAGGTAGGCACCTTGTCAACATGCACATCAAGCGCAGCCACACCTGGGATGTCAAACAACAGCCAATCATTCGAAATGCCGATATCGAATAAAGTAAACGCATAGGACGACATACATACTCGCCAAATGAGCAGATGGAAGCAAGTGGTGAAATGTGAATACCCGATAAGTACAAAATGTCCGAAAGTTAGTTAAAACATACCACGCGATAAAATTACGCAAGGCTACCACAATTTGCATGAGCGACGTGTGTAAGTTGGGA